CCGGCCCCGCCTGCCGCGCACAGCGCCAGCGAGCCGCCGAGGGGCCGAGCCGGGCGGGCGGCGGGCGGGCGGGCGGCAGCGCCCCCTAGAGGCCTCACGGCTCGGGGGCCCCGACGCTGGGTCCTGGGCTGTTACCTGAGTTTTGCACCCAGGACAACCCCAGGCCACGAGCGGTGACCACAAAGTCGATCGCATCTCCGGCTGTTGGAGTCCACGCTCCCGCCAGGGCGCTGGGTCTCGTATCAACAATCCTGACACCGAACAAGACCCCAGACTCAGATTTCCGAACAATGTCTCAGGATCACAGAATCACTGTCACCTCTGACCCCCGACCTGACCCCAGACCGTGGACTTCAATCCTGACCTCAAACTCCCAATGGGATCCTAGGCTCAGACCTTGGGCTGCCCTTCTGACTGTGAACATTTGTTGTTCTTGTTTTTAGACAGGGTATCGCCATGTAGCCCTGGCTGGCCTGTAACTCACTGTGTAGACCAGGCCACTAATTCATAGAGATCTGCGTGCTTGCCCCTGCCTCCCAAATGCTGAGATGGATTAAAGCGTGGTCCGATGAGGGCTGAACTCTCATTTATCTATTTATTGTGTACGTGTGTGCGTACATGCAGGTCAGAAGACGGGCAATCTGACAATCAGTTCTCTCTTTTACCACATGGGTTCCTAGGGACTCAAGGTCCTCAGGCTTGATGGCAAGCCGAGCCTTTCTGTCGGCTTCTTTGCTAGCCAACTCCTCCTGCCTGCTCTCTCTGCCCAGCACTTGGGAGGCAAAAGCAGGTGTATTTCTGTAAGATCAAAGCCAGCCAGGGCTATAGAGTGAGACCCTGTCTCAAGCAACCGAATGGAAAAAATTTAAACCACGGACACCTCTCTGCTTTCCAAGCTGCCAGGACACACCCACCCAAGTCCTGGGCACTTAGAGCCAGACTCTCCTGTAGTTCAGGGGCAGCAAAACAAGTGTCCTATTCCCTTTGACTTTTTTTTTTTTTTTTTTTTTTTTTAGATAGGCTTTCTCCTTCTGTCTCCCCTGGAACTTGCTTTGTAGCCGCGGCTGGCCTTGAACTCACAGAGATCTGCTTGCTCCTACCTTACAAGCGCTGGGATTAAAGTTGTGCGCCACCTCTGCCAGGCTGGTGAACACTCTCCTAAACTGCAAGTTGAGGCATGAATGATGGAGCCCTGTTGCCCCCTGTAGCCTGGTTCCCACCATGCACCAGGAGTTCCCTTTCTTACTGTTAGTTCTCTGCCCTGGGGCTTCTGCTTTTCGCTGGACCTGGAAGCCCTTTTGTGCGCTTTCTTCCCTAATCAGCTCCTGCTTACCTTTTCAGACCCACCGCCTGCAGGTAGCCTTCTCTGGCTTCCTCACCCCAGATGTGTACATGCTCCATCCTACACTTATCACTACCAGTCCCCGTTGCTCTAATCTGAAATCCTTGTCAATAAAAACATGCACTGTAATGGGGGGGGGGAGGTCAGACGTTACATTATGACATGTCTGCATTCAAATGTGAGAAATGTTGACATACTGAAGGAGATACCCACTGTCTTCCACTGCCATTGATGTTCCATGGTTCATCTCTCTCCTGTGTGCATGCATGAACATGTGTGTTACTAGTATGTGTGCATATTCGTGTGGGTGTGAGTGCCTGGCATATGTAAGTGTTGAGGAGGCCAGGTCAGTATTATAGATCACTTTTTCAGGAGCCATGTGTGTATTTATTTTAATTAATTTAAAGATTATTTTTAATTAAAGATTATATATAGTGGGTAGTGGTGGCTCGAGCCTTTAATCCCAGCACTCGGGAGGCAGAGACAGGCAGATCTCTGTGAGTTAAAGGCCAGCCTGGTCTACAGAGTGAGTTCCGGGACAGCCAAGGCTACACAGAGAAACCCTGTCTCCAAACAAACAAACAAACAAAAATTACGTGTGTGTGTGTGTGTGTGTGTGTGTGTGTGTGCCTGAGTCTGTATGTCTGAGTGTGGGTTTGTGCACGTGAGTGCAGGCGCCCACAGAATGGAGAAGGTGTTGGATCCCCTGAAGCTGGAATTACAGGAAGTTGTGAGCTGTCTGCTGTGGGAACTGGGAACTGAACTCTAGTCCTCTAGTGCTAAGAGAAGCACATGCTCTTAGCCCTTAACCATTGAGCCATCTCTCCAACCACTGAATTCACTTGAGACAAGGTCCCTCAAGTGGACAGGGGGATGCCAATTCCACTAATCTGGCTAGCTAGTAAGCCTTGCAAACCTACCTGTCTCTGCCACCCCAGCGCTGGAACCATAACTGTGAGTCACCTTCCAGGCATTTTATGTGGGTCTGAGGGACTGAAGTGAGATCCTCATGCTTGTGCCTCAAGCACGTGAGCGACTGAGTCATCTCGCCAGTGTTCCTGGCTCATCTCTCTTGCCTTGGTGTCCATTTCAGGACTAGATGCAGACAGGCATTAAGGTTTGATGAATGAGTGAGTGAGTGGCCACACTCTTAGAACACACGAAGTTTGAAGCAGAACAGGGCTAGCAGCTCCAGCAGGACTAGATGCCTCTGACCTTCCTCTAAGCCCTGCCCTGGCTCTCTGAGACTAGTCCAGTGAACACAGTCCCACCCTGACCTGGGTTCTGGAACAGTTCCTATTTAAGACAACAACAATAACAAAAAAACTGCCCGAAGAACTTGTCAGACCAGAGTCTGAGTGTGGGTTTGGAAGTGCCAGCCATCCCTTCCCTTCACTAACTGGAAACCCAGATGGGCCATCCCACCCACTGCCCCAGCCAGACCTGGTTCCCAGGAGCAGGTTTCCAGGGCATCATGGATTCCTGAGACCTGAGACAGTAGTTTCAGGCAAGCCAAGGGACCAGAGGCTAGAGTAAGGCTAGTCTTTGAGATGGTGCTGCCCCCTGGCGGTATCTAGAGTGTAAAGGTTGTGTGGAATCTTGACCTTTCAGGCTAGTTTCAATCATTTCTACAAACTTTTGTTTCATAGCCAGATTGTGCTGGACTGGGCCAGGATGCTGGCAGTGCAATTTCTTCTCAGGGTGATCGTGAGTGTTGAAAACTCAGCCCACACTGTGCTCCTGATCCCCTTCCAGACGAAGCCTCCATCTTCCAAAATCCTAAGGAGTCTTCTTCAACTTCTTTCTTCCCTTACCTGTCTCTGATCACCATATACACATCAGTATTGTCTAGTGCAAAGCACAGTGGCCTCTTCTCAGGCCCCGTGTCTCACTGCCTGAACTAAACTATACTTTGATTGGCATAGGATAATGCCCACCTCCTTCCTGTGGCCTGTAAAACCTAGGAGTCCTGGCCTCTGCATCTCTTAGGAACCCTCTGCTCCTCCTTCCTCTAGCCTCTCTGTGACTTGAACAAATCTGTTATATTGTTCTCCTCCCCAGCCTAAGATACACTGGTCACCCCCACAGGGCAAGCGAATCTTGCTCAGCCTATTGCTCCCTGGGTTGAGACATTTATGATCAGAGGGCAAAGGGCTCTGCCTTACTGTTCCTGTGTGTGCCAGTCAGTGCTGTATCCCTCATGGCCAGCATGAAATTCAGGCTGGCCTTGAACTTGTGACAATCTTCCTGGTTCTGCTTTCCCAGAGATGGGAACCAATTACTACTTCTTTCCTCCCCCAGTTCAGGGGGTAGAATTTAGGATATTTCAGGGCTGGAGAGATGCCTCAGTGGTTAAGAGCACTCACTGTTGTCTTTCAGAGGACGTGGGTTTCATTCCTAGCACCCACATGGCAGTTTACAACTTTCTGTAACTTCAGTTCCAGGAAAATTAATGCCGTCTTCTAATCTCCACAGGTACCAGGCACTCACATGGTACATACATAATGTAGACAAAACACACATACACATGAAATGAAATACAAAGATAAATAAGGAACTTAGGACCTTTCACAGCCTAGGCAAGTACTCCAGTGCTGAGAACCATATATTTGTGTATTTTAGAGGGTCTCATTATGTTGCCTTGCTGTCTGGCCTGAAACTCACTATGTAGCAGGCTAACCTTGAATTCACAGAAAACCTCCTTCTTTTGTCTCCCAAGTGGTGCTTGGATAAAAGGCATGCTACCACTGGTGTGCTAGCTGGTTTTACGTCAACTTGACACAAACTAGAGTTATCTGAAAGGAGGGAGCCTTAACTGAGAAAATGTTTTCATAAGATCCGGTTATAAGTTGGGCAGTAGTGGTGCATGCCTTTAATCCCAGCACTCGGGAGGCAGAGGCAAATGGATCTTTTGAGTTTGAGGACAGCCTGGTCTACAGAGGACAGCCAGAACTATCGTTAAAAAAAAAAAAAAAAAGATCTGGCTATAAGCTATGAGACATTTCTTAATTACTGATTGATGAGGGAGGACCCAGTCCATTGTGGGTGATTTCATCCCTGGACTGGTGGTCCTGGGTTCTGTAAGAAAGGAGGCTGAACAAGCCATGGGAAGCAATCCAAAAATAAGCACCCTCCATGGCCTCTGCATCAGCTCCTGCCTCCAGGCTCTTGCCCTGCTTGAGTTCCTGCTCTGAAGTATAAGCCAAATAAACCCTTTCCTCCCCACTTGCTTTTGGTCATGGTGTTTTGTCACAGCAATAGAAACCCTAACTAAGACATGTGGCATAACACAAGAGAAAAGGTGAGCAGGTAACTTCATAAAGTTTGTTCTCTCCTTCCACATTTACATGGGTTCCAGGTAAGAACCCATTTACATAGGCCCCAACCTGGAGGGCCTTATTTGTTTGGGACAAAGTCAAGGTATCCATTCTTTGGTTGAGGGACCATCTAAGTTGTTTCCAGATTCTGACTATTATAAGTAAAGCTTCTATGAACATAGTTGAACAAATGTCCTTGTTGCATGGTGGAGCATATTTCAGGTATATGCCCAGGAGTGGTATAGCTGGATCTTGAAGTAATGCTATTCCCAATTTTCTGAGAAAGTGCTAGATTGATTTCCAATGTGGTTGTATAAGTTTGCATTCCCACCAGCAATGGAGGAGGGTTCCCCTTTCTCCACATCCTCTCCAGCATGTGTTGTCAGTTGGGTTTTTGATCTCAGCCATTCTGATGGGTGTAAGATGAAATCTCAGAGTCCTTTTGATTTGCCTTTCCCTGATGACTAAGAATGTTGAGCATTTCTTTAAGTGTTTCTCTGCCATTCGATATTCCTCTGTTGAGAATTCTGTTTATCTCTGTACCCCATTTTTAACTTGGATTATTTGGTTTGTTGGTGTCTAATTTCTTGAGTTTTTTATGTGCTCTGGATATTAGCCCTGCTGCCTGCTCTTTGGTCACTTCCCCCTAGCAATGCAGCCTTACCAGGCTACAGAGGATCCAGGCAGTCCTGATGAGACTTGATAAGCTAGGGTCCAATGGTAGGGGAGGAGAACTCCCTCTTTCGGTGAACTAGGGTAAGGGAATAAGGGGGATAAGGAGGGGGGACTGGGAGGAGATGAGGGAGAGGGCTACAATCGAAATATAAAACAAACACATTGCAAAACAAAAACAACAACAAACAAACAAAAACCCACCAAAGTCAAGGTATAGTTCAGGCTGGTCTCAAACTCACAATCCTCTTATCTCAGCTACCTAAGAACTGGGATTACAGGTCCCTGCCATCAGGGTGCAGGTCGTTAGCTCCTTTGCAGATTCTCCCGAGGAGCAGCATTTTCCCTTGGGACCCTTAAGGTCATGCAGTCCAGCCTTGTTCCAGCCCCAGGCTGCATTTCTGCTTTTTGAAGTTTTTGCATAGGCCAGGATTTCAGCTTCGGATTTTCAGGACCTAGGCTACTTCCCTAGTTTTGGTCCCGCCCAATCCCGCCCTCCCAGATCCAAGGCGCATGCGTTCCTACATCCCCAAACAACCCTTGGGCTAGTATTTGTGGAGGCCTCATCTAAGACCGGATATTTGGAGCTTGTGTGAATGTTCGATTTATTGTCTTGTAGCCCTCATGTTGGTATCTGTGGTGTATCTGAGAGCTATCGTCTACTAACCTCATCCAGTGCCTTGGTCGAGTTTCTTATCCTGTCTGAGCTGGTGAACAGAGACAAAGTGCACAGCTCTGCAGCTTGCTGACTCTAGTGCCAGCTGGAGTCTCCTTTGTCTTCCAGGCACCCTTTACAGTCTTTTCTCCTACTTTTCCTTCTCTGTGTCTCTCAGAGTGCATAACTGTCTGCCAGCACCGTCCTGGCTTACTGAAGTCCGAAGCCAGACATAGCTGTGCTCAGCCTCTGCAGAGGGGTCAACAGGATAGGGAAAAGCAGGGAACTGGATAAGGACCTGGACAAGGGTCAGGCCTAGCGCCCTGTATATTCCAGCTTCCATCCTGGCTTGGACTCCTTACCTGTGGCCTGGAAATATGTAGGGAAGAGGAAGGGCCCTGCATTCAGTGCTTATGAAGCATCATCAGTTGCAGCCAGCACCCACTGGCAAAGTTGACCTGGGTGAAGCAGGGATCGCTCCCCTCCCGCCCCCAAATATTACATGATTGGAAGTACCCTATGCAAACAAAACAGTAAGCCTCTAGGCTAGAGAGGGGGCTCATTTGTTAAGAGCACTTGCTGTGTAATTATAGGAATGCCCAAGTTCAGATTCCAGTACCTAACAAGCCAGGAGTCTTGCAAATATCTGTAACTCCAGCACCAAGTGATCCGATGTCCTCTTCTGGCTCCAGAGCACACAGGCACGCACACCTTCTAGCTGAAAACACATACACACACACACACACTTTCCAAATAGGAGGCTCTGGGCTGGAGAGATGGTTCAGTGGGTAAGAGAGCACATACTGCTCTTACAGAGGACTAGAGTTAGATTCCCAGCATCTAAGTCCAATAAATAGCTCACAACCTCCCATAACTCCAGTTCCAGGAGATTCAATGCTTTCTTCTGGCCTCTGAAGGCACTGCGGTTGTGCACAAACCCACACTCATCCACACACATAATATACATACTTAAAATAAAAATCAGGTGTTGGTGATATGGCTTAGCAGTCAAGACACCTGGTTTCTCTTCCTGAAGACCCAGGTTTAATTGCCAGCATGCATATGGTGGCTTACATCTGTAACTCCAATTCCAGGGACCCCCCCCCCCCTTTTGAGACAGGGTTTCTCTTTGCAGACCAGGCTGGCCTGAAACTCAGTGATCCACCTGCCTCTTCCTCCGGAGTGCTGGGATTAAAGGTGTGTATCACCACACCTGGTTGATCTGATTCCTCTTTGGCTTCCATGGACACCAAACATGTTCATGGTACACAGACATACATGCAGAAAACATACACTAGTCAGTTATAGTGTACTTCTGAGTTTTCTGAGGCCAGCCTGGTCTACATATCAGTTCTAGGACAACATAAAGGAACCTCCAAAAACAAAACCCTAAAAAAACAAACAACACACACACACACACACACAAAACTGGTTTTCTGAGATAGGGTTTTCTGAGATAGCGTTGGCTGTCCTGGAACTCACTGGCCTCAAACTCAGAGATGCCCACCAAGTCCAGTCCTCCAACATAATTTTAAGTAGGAAGTAGGACCCGAGTCAGTTGGTGAGCTGTTCTTGCTACCGAGTTTGAGATGAACTGTAGCAGTGATTTTCAACCTTCCTAATTCTGTGCACCTTTAAATATGGTCCTTATGTTGTGGTGACTCCCAACCCTATTGCTACTTCATAACTGACTTTGCTACTGTTATGAATCATATTGTAAATATGTTTTCTGATGGTCTTAGGCAACCTCAAACGGATTGTGACCCATAGGCTGAGCACCTTTGAAATAGAGGCTGTTGCTGATTTAGGTCCTGGACAGTGGTGGCTTCCACTCTGGTGTCAAGAATGAGAACAGTAGAGTTTGAGATAATGGACAAGAGAGACAATTCTCTCTTCTCTGCTTCTCAACTAACCAACAGCTCATCTTCAGGAAACTTAACTACAGGTCAACTTATCTAGTGCCACACCGGTTTTTGGTGCATACAGCAAGCTGTTAGTTTTGGCCACTAAGAGGAGTAGTAATTCAACCCTCCCAGGATGCAATGAGCATTACTGACAGTAGGCAAAATGCAATGAGCATTACTGACAGCAGGCAATGCTTGGGTAGAGGTTGAGAACTAGCAACAGATCTGGTCACATGGCTGAGTTAGAGAGTTGGGGGTTAAACGCCAATCACAGCCCATCTGGAGGCTTCAGGCAGGCACTAACCTCGAGGAGGAACCTAGTCTATAGGCAGGCACTAACCTCGAGTTTGGTCTTGGTTATTGATTGGGGCAAGAGATCAGAACTGCCAAGGCTGTTCACAGGCAATAAGTATACTATTTACTCTTGGGGAGGTCTGATAACCTTACCACATAAAATACTTATGCATCCATTAAAAAAGTTTGCTTTGGGCTGCAGAGATGGCTCAGTGGGTAAAGGCACTTGCCACAAAGCCTGAACCCTGGATAACAAATGGTGCTAAAACCAGACTTCTCCATGCTGCCCTTTGCCCTCCACAGGCATGCCACAGCATATATACATGCAAGCATTTTTTTTTTTTAAGTTTTCCTTGATGAAGCAAGTGTTGCTTTTTGACATTAAGTATAAATACTTGTTATCACAGATGTTTCTGTCCAGAGAGGTGGGGCCAGCATTCCCTGGTCTTAGCTGGATACCAGCGTGTCTGTGTGACCTTCTGACCCATCCTCTCAGACACACACATACACCAAAGGAGAAAGGGGTTAGTTTTTGTTTTTAAAGTCTTTTTATTTAAAAACAAAAACAAAAAAACCAAATCAAAATATTTCCCATTGGGGGCTATTTCTTTTTTTGTCTTTTAAAAATTTTATTACACAAATATCTCCCATTCCCAAATGTCAGAAGACATCTTTGCTCTTTCTAAAACCAAGTGGGGGGGGGAACTTTTAGAAAACAGTCCAACTAGCTTCCTTCCTTCCCTGACCCAAAATAATGCCAATGTGTCAGCTGGTGGCCTAAGACTTATTCCCTTAATGCTCACATTTAATTTAAAAATCTTAGCACAACATTGTAGATCGATTCTAAATAAGCAACAAAAAATATATATTTACAATATTTCCCCCCAAAAAACCAAACCCTTTAAACATAGTGACTTTAGTTGTTTTATTTATTGAGCAGTTATTTTTTAATCACCAAGTGATTTTATATTATATATATATAATTATATATATATATATAATTTTCTTCCTTTCCTTTGTGGTTTTTTGCCCCAGTACGTGGAAAGATGAAGGCAGAGGTCTGGTCTTGCAGTCTGAGGAGGCCAGGTTCTGGTAAGACCGCAGTTAAGAGTAGATGCAGGACCATGAACTTACATGTTCTTTGTCCTCCAGAGATATTTCTCTCCTTTGCAAGGACCAATCCTCACCTCTAAAAAAACCATTCTCCCTCATAGTCCTAAAGAAAAGACAGACCCAGCAAGGGCATCAGTCCATCTGCCGCTCCCTTTTCAGCTGACGAATTTCTGTGTGGTAAAATGCTTGTTTTGTTTTGTTTTCCCCCCCAAATCCAAATACCAAAACCCCAGACAAGCCATCAGCTTAGAAATTTCTGTGGATGAACTGTCCCAAAGGTCAGAGGCACTCTCCCGGCACAATCCCTGCTCTGAAGGGGTCTCTCCACCTCCCCCTTTATAAAGACGACAAACAAAACTTAGTAATTTTAGTATTTTCCACAGGAGCAACCAAGAAAAAAAAAAAAAAAAAAAAGAGGCAGGAAGCTTCTAATTATAGGTCATTAATAGCATTAATAAGGTTTTTGCTCAACACCCAGGGTTCTTTACAGAAGTTCCCCTAACTGAGGCACTCTGGAATAAGTCACTGGCGTTTCCTCAACATTTCAGCCCCAGAATTCTGGGGCCTGAAGACCAATGGAATGGCAGAGGGTCAAGGGAGCTGACTGCTGTTTTTAAGGTGCAGCCAAGAAAATCAGCAGATTGGAAGAAACAATGCCACCCCTTGCCAGAACCCAGTTTTCCTGGAAAAAGTCTGGTTAATGCCAGGGTCAAAGTTGGCTAGGTGGTGAAGAGGGGATGATGCTTCTGCCTCTATTGCTTTGGCAGTGGCACCCCTCCTTGGGCGATTCACACTTTAGACTCATGGTGCCTGGGCTCTGTCCCTCCTGATGGGAGTTTAGGAAAGCCTGAGGCTGGGTAACAGGAAATGGATAGGAAGTGGGGTTATGTTTGGGGTAAAGAGAAGGCGGGGCAAGGCTGTGCTATCAATCTCCTACAGATGGGGAGCAGAGTGCAAATTTGCATGTATTACTGACGAACTCTGGCCACAGGCCTCTGCTGAGCATCTCCTCACACTCTAAATATTGACCCAGAATAAATCCGACCACTTTTTCTTTTTTTAAAGTGCAAAAAGCTCTCTGCTGCCCTAGAGAGAGGATCTTTGGACAGGCCGTTCAATGCAAAGTACAGGGGGCAGCTGATGGGGCTTGAAAAATGGTGGTGGAGGAGTGGGAGACATCATACTCCCCTCTCCTTCCCTGCACACAAGTGCAGCACACTTAGCTAGACACACAGAGGCACATGCACACACACTTCCAAGGCTACAGGCAGAGGGCAGGTGGCTTTCAATCAGGACTCCCCTTAAAAGGCACCAGGTCAGTGAGCTGCTAGGCTATACATAGGCCTGGGCTCAGAGGGCCACGCGAAACCAGAGCCTGGAGAAGCCTGGCCTGGAGGCAGGTGGGAACTCAACCAGTCCTCTGTTCCCCCACCTGGGGAAACATGCTGCTCCTTCTGAGGTCACCAATTTTAGGAAACCCTTTTCAGGCAGGAAAGAGGACATGTGGAAAGGGCAGTTAGTTGGTGGGCAACACTGGGGGTGCAGAGGGGAGATGATGTCTGTCTTAGAATATGCCTGGGTAGCAATGAAATGGGCATCTCTGGGGGCACCGTTCCAGCTCCTCTGAAGAGCTTTTGATAACCCCAGTAAGTGCAACAACGGACTCAGAGACTAGTGGGAAAGTTTAGGGGGTGGTAGTAGAATGGAGGCTGCATTATATAAATGAGTGTTGGACAGCATCAAGCTCAGGGAAAAGAAAAAAGGGCTAGCACAGACATGGAGCAAAGCTTCAGACATCTCACAGCACCACTGAGACCTGCCAGGCCTGGTGTTTTCTAGGGCTATAGGCCCATCCTGCAGAAGCCGGGAGAGTGCAACTGAGGAGAGACACGCAACGGACATCACAAGGAGAACCTGGCCACGGAGGCAAGACCGCCTTCCTCCCTGGAGTTTGCTTCAGAACCAGGCACTGCTGGGGACCATGGGTGAGAAGGAAGGGCTCTTGGCCCAGTGCAGGTGAAAGATGCACAAATTCCCCAAAACTGAGAGCCCAGCTTCCCAGCTGGCAGACGAGCAAGCAAGCAGGTACTGGGACAGCACAGCCTGTGCTTTCTCCTCGATCAACCTCTCCTCTCTTTTCCTTGGGAGGGAGAGGAGCAGGCAAGTGACCTTGGTGTCCACCATCCTCTCTGCCCCACCTATGGGAGAAGGGCTCAGAGAAAAAAGAGCAGAGAGGGAGTGTGTCGTTGGCCTCAGAGCCTGCGCAGGGTCAGGGAGAGACTCTCCTTGGTGGGAAGGCAGGGGAAGATTTTCCTGTTCAGTCCGGGCTGAGCATGTCTTAGCTAATTTTCTGTATCAGTTTCTCATCAGACAGGCAGTAGAGGCTGTTGATGGACAAGTCTGAGATGAAGTGCTCACAGGCTTTTCTTGTGATCTGTTTGCATCCTCGAAGGTCAATCAAGGTGACATTAGCAATTCGCCTTAGGAAGAACAGGGTCTGGTCTGTCAATTTATTGCAACCTGTGGGCAACATGGCAAAGAGAACAAAGATCATAAACATACAGCCAGAAGCCCATTTTGGCCACCCAGTTCTCCTAGCTATCTTTCTCCAATATGCTAAATCATCACATTTAGAGAGACCAGGGCTGCCATCAGCACTGTGGCCTTACTCTAAAGACCATGTGCAGGTAAGCAGCACAGGGCTGTTTGGCTGACCAAACAGGGGCTGGAAAGAAGCCATGCATGCAGGCACCTGAGTTTACTAACCACCTCAAAGATCTTTTGGTTCGAAAGGAATATAAGTCTCTTCTTCTCGTGCGGATACAAATTTCTTACTGTTGATTTGAGAAAGGGTCTCAATATAGCTCTGGCTGGCCCTGAACTTGCAGAGATTGGCCTGTATCTGCCTCTCAAGAACTGGGATTTCTGGGATTTAAAAAGGTGTGTGCCATAACAACTGGCCAAATGAAAATTTTAAAATTTACTATTATTATTTTTTGAGATAGGGTCTTACTATGTAAATCTGGCCAATATCAAACTCAAGAAACCTACCTACCTCTGCTTCCAAAACACCAGGATTAGATTAAAGGTTTGTGTCACCATGCCCAGCTACAAATTTATTTATTTATTTATTTTATATTCAGGTGTGTGTATGGCAACACGTGTAGAGGTGCTCAAAAGGCTGTAAGGTGTCAGATCCCCAGGAGCTATAGTTCAGGGGGTTATGAACCACCTAACATGCGAAATAGGGACTACTGAGCTAGCTCTCTATCCCCATGCAGATGTAAATCAAGAAATAAATATGACCCAGAAAGCAGGGACACCGCTTAACATAAACAAAGACAGTGGCATACCTGCCATATTGAGCTCTGTGAGGGAGTACCGAGTGGAAGACCCGACAGCAGTGAGTAGGTTGGAGGACTGATCTGTAAGGTGGCTGCAGTGACTGAGGTCAAGTCGAGACAAAAGGGGCATGTGGCGAATGATGAGCCGGAGAGTGGCATCTGTGATGTCAAGGCCTGCCAGCCGGAAGTCAGTCATGTTCCGGAGCTTGCTTCGATTGTCTTGACCTCCACAGACAAGAGAAGAGCTTAGATCAAAACTTTTAATTCTCTACCAAAGCCCCAGGTGGTATAGCTGGTTAGGAACCCTTTGACAGAGTTAAGCAGAACTACCCACACTACACACTTCACGGAGAGAGTGAACAATGTATAGGGCTGTTTCTAGGAAACAACGTAAGACTACTGTCTCTTTGGTGCCAGATTGCATGCCCCACTTCCAAAGTGATGTGTCAACAGGGTCTTTCTTCCTCACAGTCCTGTGATTCTGTTACCATACATCATTTAAAGAGTTTTCGATGTCCTACTCTGACCCAGAAGCCTTGCAAGATGTTCTCAGGTTTATGCTCTCTGGGCCCAAACTCTTAAAATTGTGAGTTATTTGCTTGTACATAATCTGCACATGTACATGGCCTGTTACTGCATTGTAGACTTGCACAATTTAATTCTGAGACCTTAGTTTCAAGCTCTGTCCAAAAAGAAGGCTCAAGACAAGACAGGTAGATGAGGCAGGCCCACAGCTTACCTGGTTTATCTGTGGGTGGAGTAAGCAAATCCCGAATTTGAGGGTCTTTAATTCCTACTGCCCACCGAAGATCAAGGGTCCTGAGAAGGGGGCAGCTGGAGGTGCTGAGGGCAGAGACTGCAGACCAGGAACAGCCTGCTAGTAGGAGGTCTTTTAGTCCTGCCATAAATGGAAACAAACATATAACATACTCTGCCTCTATTGAATTCAAATCCTCAGTTACCAGCTGTTTTGAGCAAAAAGAATTAATCTCTAGTTTAATGGGAGAGAAGGGATGGTGTTCTAATCAAGTGTTTAGGCCTCCAAGTTACAACTATTACTTTGGTGTTAAAACCAAATAGCTGGATGCCAGATGGTGATGTCCCGTGCTTTTAATCCTAGCTCTTGGGAGGCAGAGGCAAGTGGAGAGCCTGGTCTACAAAGTGAGTGCCAGGATAGCCAGGGCTATACACAAAGCAGCTATCTTGAAAAGACAAACACACAAATAAAACAAAACAACAAACTCAATTGCTGGAGCTAGGTATGATAGCACACACCTTTAATCCCAGCACTTGGGAGGAAAAGGCAGGCTGATCTCTTGAGTTCTGCATAGTGCAAAGGCTACCACCTCAAACCAAAGTGCACACAAACAAAGACAAAGACAGACAGACAACCCCCACCCCCATTGCTGGAGGGTTTAGGGAGGTGGCTAAACAATTAAAAGCACTTAACACTCATTGAACAAGACCAGAATTCATATCCCAGAAACCACATACATGGCAGGTGGACGTGGCAGCCTGTCAGTAATTACAGCATTGAAAAAAAATTGGGATCTCCACAGTATAGCAAGAGTAGCCATATCAGATGCAAGCTCTGTACTGTTGACTGGCCCCTGCCTCAACATATGTAGTGGAAGAGTGACCCAATGTTCCTCCTATGAACTTCTAATACAAATGAATATATAAATGCACACTCACCTACATGCATATACATGAAAAGAAGAAAAATAAAGACCCAGTCACTATGTTTCTACAAGAACAACAGATGCTGTGTGGCCTTAAAATATTGAAGGGGCTAATAGGGGACTGGTGGAGGCAAAAATCTGACTCATATTCTCTCATCTATGCTCAGGAAATGTGCAGGGCTGGCAGCAGCAACTCAACCTTATTCTCTCTTGTGCAGTCACCAATCCAGTGATGCCATAGAGACTGGCAGTTATTGTGGCCCCAACAGCCACAGTTTAGGACTACTGCCTAAACCGCACTGCACTGCGTCAGTTGTAAGCAGTATTAACAATAGCCTGATGTTCCCTGCCGGTCCTCTGGGCCTTAGGACACTAGCAGGTCTTGCTGCTCACCTACCTGGCAGCCTATTGACCAGCCATGTCAGCTGCTTTTTGGAGATGTTAGTCCAACTAAGGTCGAGGCTTACTGGCTGCCGCTTGATGATACCACTGAGAGCTTGGGGCACGATGGCCTTACACCTACTCAAGTCAATTTTTGTCCAAAGTCGTTTATCACAGCACCTGTAAGAGGGAAGAGAATTTAACTAATGATATTCCTGTCAAAGATGATTCCAAGGCATTCTGCTAGGCTTCTGGTAAAGGCTGAACACCTGAAGGTCATTCCTCTAAGTTCTCCTATAAAAAAACCAGAGATCACTGTCATTTTCTGCCTCAGAGTCAGGCAAAAACTGCCTTGTTCTTTACAACAACTAGACCCTTTGCAAATCCAGGTTAAGCAGGGTATGGCTTGGCTAGTCCACACAATAGTATGCTAGAGTCCCTTTCTTTATATGGCTCCTGTTGAGTGGTGTACAGGGACATTTAACAATTTAAAGAAATATCTTAATTTTTAACTTGGTTACAAGATAGTAAATAGGTTTCCACACAGAGTTTTTATAATTTTAAAATTTCTTGACTTCTCACTGCCTAGAATTCCTTGGCTCGGCTCCTTTTGCTTGTCAGTTACTTGCCACTGAGGGAGATGAAGGATGCTACGCATCACCACTACAGCACATCCTGCCTTGAGCCCATTACTGTCTCAGGCCCAATGAAGCTCTCTATCACTGAGTGCTTGACTTCTACCTTCTAGCCAGTTCAGTCCAAAACTGAAAGGGAGAGAGGTCTTTCCCCTGCAGTCTACAGACAGCATTGCACCATGCAGGTTTCTAGTTAATGTTACAGTCCTTACCCTTAAGTTCGGCCTGCCTGTCAGGGCACAAGGAGATAATATGTAATGGAAGTCTTATGTGCCTTGGCCTGGAAACCAAGGATCAGGAGGCTGGCAGACCCACTTGTTTGATAGAAAGAAGTTAAAGAGAATTTGGGTAAGTCACACATTAATTCTAATTCAAGAAACAGATTTGTACTGGCAAAATTATTAGATTGACAAAATCTCACTGATGGCACACCAGATGTTGATGTAAGAGTCCTTAAATAAATACACACTATGCCAGAGCATATTGACAGACCCATCCTAGAGGCTCTGATTAAGTAGATCTGGAGATTTCCTTTTCTTTGCTTGCTTCTTTTTTTCTTTTCTGAGACATGGGTCTCATGTTTTAGTAAAGATCTTCCTGACTCTAGTCTCCTGAATGCTGGGATTACGTGTGTACACTACCATACTCTAACATGTGTGTGTGTGTGTGTATATATATATATACACACACACATATACATATATATAGCTGGTCAAGACACCAAATTCTGAGAACAATAGCAATAGAGTGTAACCAAAGTAAAAATTATACACCCTTATGGAAAACCTCACAACACCCCAGATAAATTTCTTCATTTATGAGCTCAAGGGATTAGTTCTACTAAATGTATATTCAACTAGAGGAGAAATGGTCCATTACAAAGGATAACTGAGTCTCAGCTTCAGGCCTGGGCACTGAATTATTTAGCTTTGGAGAATAATTAAAACTGGAAGCTGAACACAGAAGAGGAAGAGACCAAAGGGTACTAGAACTGTAAGATTACGAGCACCTTCAAATTCATTTTGTAAAGTTTGCCCATTCCTCTTGGTGCTATCATCTGTACTAAAAACTAGACTACTATCTAGCTTGTCACAGACTCTCAACCAGTATATGTTAAGTTAGGGAAGAACAGGTTTACAACCTCTAAGACCCTACATTTTCATACAAACTGGATAAATCCATCCCTTAAATCAGTTTCCCTTCCCCCCAGCAGAGAGACAGGGAAACAAAGAGCAGGGAGAGGAGGCAAAAGCTCAAACTTCCTCTAACATCTGGAGGTGTAATGGACTACATCTATAACAGCACCCACAGACCAGGTCCCTTCACTTCTTAAAAAAACCAACATGCCTGCAGATATCAAGGTGCATGCTGCTGTCAATTCAGAAGACCTGACACCTACTCCCCTGCCCCTATTCCTGACCCCCTGTATCCCTGCTCACCATTTATACCACGTCTTGCACACTCGCATACATTCACAAAGTTCTCTGCGGCTGAGGTAGCGGAAGACAGACATCCAGACCTCCCGCTGCATCCAGCTTTCGTCTCCATCCTGAGCCCAACTGCCCCGGCCATTCAGCCTGGCTGCACCCCCCTCCTCTGCACTGTCATCTTCCTCCTCCTCCTCCTCTTCCTCCTCCTCTCCCCCCAGCCCCTCCTCATCCCCACGCTGGGGGTTTCGGGCTGGACAGTGCTGCATTAGCACACGGGGGTTAGGGCGAAGGTTGGCAGAGGAGGCCGTGATGGCCTGCAGCTTGGGCACAATGGATGTCCCGTGGAGCTCTTTGGTGGGCCTCTGTAGCGTGACAGTGAGGTACGATCCCCGGATCTTGGCTTTCTCAACTTCAGACAGCTCCTTTTTGCCGCTGGGATTGTTCTCCTTTTCCCGTACCATGGTGCGCTCTGTGGCCTGTAGCCGCAGCAACTGCCGCCGTTTGAAGCGCTCATCACGGCTGGCACTGTGGTGGTCGCTGGGGCCAGCCCCAGGGGATGACCGAGTCACCATACCCCGGGGAGAAACCGGGTCGTGGATGAGTTGCAGCATGGAAGTAGGAGAGTGAGGCGGGGGTGTGAGGGGCTCCTCGCAGCTCCTCAGGGGCCGTAAGACTTTGGCTTGTACAGCTTCTTCATCGCTCTCTTCTATTTTCCGCTTCTGCAAAATGCCCAGAAAAGAAACACCAGTGCTTCCTTTTTTTCTAAACCCTTTAAAGTAACAAGGAGAACCTCAGAGAAGCCAGGTCATTGCTGCCAAAGGGGGCCATTTCCTCAGAGCCTGTGATCCAGACTGCCAAGATCTGTTGGCAACAGCTCACACCCAGGTCATAGAATGTTGATTTCAGAACACAAAATACTGAAATGTTCACTTAGGAAAACTACCTGTAAGAAAAGCTTGTGTCCAAGTACAGAGGATGAAATCTAGAATATAAGGCTTCTTGATTCTATACCCTATATTATTCATTGCACCTCAAGTTTTGGGTATTTTTGGGGGGGGGGTGTAAAAAATATAATTTTTGCATTACAATTCTGTTCTTTGTATAACTTGACCATTTTTACTTCTGTCTCTAATTTAGCTCTTTTACAATCAAGTGATGAATCCATGTTGATGAAACAACTCGCCTAACCATGGACAAAGAAGCAGGGGCAGAGTACTAGACTTCAGTGCCTTTCAGCAGTCAGCTCTGCATTTTCAGTTCACCTCTCCATGAGGAACTGTGCCACTGCAGAGAGACCTGGTTATGATTACAGTGAAGAATCCCACAAGGCCAAGACCTCATCTTGTAGTACCTGTGCCTGCTAGACACCTGGCCTTTCCTGCAACCACCACTGGCTACGCTGAGACAAAACTCAAGTCAACAAATGCTACTAAATACCATATTAATATGACAGATTTTCCATAAGGAGACATTCCGTCACCAGCAATAATCCTGGTCTGTATTTCTTTTGTTCCTTACATTTTTGGTCACTATGGAGGAAATGCAATCTTTGTTCTGGAGGCTAGTTTTCACAGCATATTAAAATGTAACAAAAACATAGCACCTGCACCCTCAACAGAACAGTGAAGACAAATTTAAAAGTCCAAGAATGTGCAATGAGAACTTGTGGTAGTCGTCAACTCTACAAACCTTCATCCTCAAAAATATTTCAACAGGCATGGAACATAAACCTTTAATCTCAGCACCAGGGAGGCAGAGACTGTTGGGTCTCTGTGAATTCAAAGCCAGCCTAATCTACATAGCTGAGTTTCAGGGCAGAGCCAAGGCTACACAGTAAGACCTTGTCTCAAAACACCAAAACAAAAAATCTTGACTAAAATTTCAACTGTCCCAGAGCCTAAGTGGAAGAACTAAAAAGACAAGCAATTGTCTTCATGCTTCGTCCTCATGCCTGTGCAGGGTCCCTGAAGAGCTGACAGGAGGTAGCCATCTCCTGCTGTCTGTGCCCTCAACTGCTCTAACCTTGCCAGCATGAGTAACCAGAGTTTCTTTGGCATACTGATGTTTCTAGTCACCAACAGGCCAACAACTTTAGCTGTCCTGGGCTAAGGTCATGAAGCTAATACCCACTCTCTCTAGCAGACTGGCTGCTTCTGAATTGTATATTTGGGCTCATGGGGTAGGTAAAGACAAAGATGTGAAGATGACAAAAAAGAAAAACGAAGGAAAAAAAAAAAAGAAAGAAAAGGAAACCTGTTTAACCAGAAATGCTAGTGTATAAATCCAGTATGTAACAACACCACAGGCCAAGCCTGCCTCCCTGTCTAGTTACATTCCACAGGACAAGGTTGCATACCTAATTCTTTAACTCAATAGCTCAGAGATGGTTCCTACCTTTCTAGTACACTACAGAATAAAAGGACATCAAAACTCCCGAGTGGAACAGTGCTTAGTGATAGAAAAAGCAAAAACTAAAACAAAAGAACCCCCCCAAAAAACAAAACCAAAAATAAAAAAACCAAAAACAACAAATTGGAGGGGGAAGGAGAGTAATCAAAAAGGGAAGATAAAAAAGATGTTAAACAAACAAAACCAAAATAATCTTGGTCACAGAAAGCCCCTGGATAGTACAGCAACCTACCCGAGTGAACATTTCCTTTACCTGGGCTTTCTCCGAGCTGTCTTCCTGGTAACACTTTGGACACTCCCAGCAATTTGGCAACTCCTCGTTAAGCAACCCCTCTCCATCCATCTACAGGCAGATAGGGATGTTAAAAAGAAGGCAATTTTTTTCTGCCTTCTACATGACACAGTTAACACAGGTAGGAAGCACCTGCAAGAGTCATCCATTTTTAGACATACTGATCTACATGGGAATTAAAGACTGAATGCTACTGAGCAGCGAACAGTGCTAACACCCCCTCCCTGCCACTGCTAACTGGCTACTCAAGACACTGTGATTCTTGGCTGCATGACAAACGAGGCTCCCTAGTTTTCAGGGTCTGGGCCAGTTCAGAGTTGTGTTTCCTCTCCTAAACATCATATGTTAATGGCACCAGACCCCATCTTGCTATGTGGGCAAACTACTGACTGCTGAGATTCAGAGGTCTATAGTTGAGTTTCAGTGACCTAGCGTTCTCATCTGCAAAATGTAGATACATATAACAATGCATCAACTCAAATGCTTGAGGTATAATGACAAACCCTGGTTTGTGTTAAGAACTAAATTAAAAGTGCTAACAGCTGGATTTGGTGGCATTTCCTGTAATTTCAGTATACAGGAGGCAGAGGTAGGGACAGAGGCAGAGGCAGGATGATTTCAGTAAATTCAAGGTCAACTTAATCTACAAATAAGTTCTGACCCAGCCATAACTACACAGGGAGAATGTCTCAAAATAAAAAAGAAAGCTGTTCAGAAAAGTGCTTAGTATTGAACACTTCCTTGAAATTTGTCACAGAGAAGATAGTATTTTACCAATTCTTTTCTTTCTTTCTCACACCCCCTCTTGGGTCAGGATGTTAAGACTGCCTTAAACTTAGAATATTTTTGCCTCAACTCACAAAATTCAGGGTCTACAGGCATATGCCACTTAAATTCTAGCTTTTATCAACTCCAACACACACATTTTTTCAACAATCCCCCTCCCCAACACATACACAGAAATTAGGGTTTCTCTGTGTCGCCCGGCTGTCTGCTCTATCCACTCTGTAGAGCAGACTGGCCAGAACTCAGAGAATTCTCCCTAGCTCTGCCTCTCAAGTGCTGGGATTTAAGGTTATGTGCCACAGCCAGCCTGCTACTTCTCTTGAAACTGTGCAGACTGCCATCACTGACAATGCCTCGGTGGAAGTCCTTACATAGCCAACATTTTCTGTCAAAGCCAAAGTACCAGCGCCTATGCACATCTACCTATACACCTACTTACCTACCTGCCCACCTTTGAGTGGGGGGGAGGGCAGGAGGGTCTTACTATGCTACCAAGGCTGATTCAAACTAGCCATTTATTTTTTTTTTTACCTCAGAGTCACCATACCAGTTAGTCATATAACTGAGACCTAATTTGACAGATCCAGTTTCACAGGCTTGTAATAAAGATTCATGGAAGGAAAAAAAAAAAAAAAAAAAAAAAAGACATGTAAAACATGCCTTCTCAGGCTGGGCAGTGATGGCATATGCCTTTAGTTCTGGCACTGTGGAGGCAGAGGCAGGAGGATCTTTGTGAGTTCGAGGACAGTGTGGTTTACAGAGTGAGGTCCAGCGCAGCCAGGGCTACACAGGGAGACTCTATCTCAAAACAAAACCCCAAAATACAAACCACCACCACAACAACAAAACAAACCCTTCTTTTCTTTGGATATATATCAGAATCACCTGGAGCACTCTGGGAACATAAAATTTAAGCTAGATCACATGACTCCATTTTTGAGGTTGAGTTATAACCACCCCCTCTTTTTGCCACCACCCCTGAAGCCCACATCCTGAGATAGAATGAAAGATGTGGCAGAGATGCCTGGGAGCTTAAAGCATCCTCAAACATGTCTTCAAGTTTCATGATAATAGCTTGGAGACTTCACACACAATGTCCAGAGGCCTCTTAGACATGTCCCAGTACACAGTAGACATCTCAACAATGGGCTAACGTTCTCCTAAAGTCCACATTAGGTACAGTAACAGCTTCTACTGGCAGGTGTTCCACTCTTTTGTCAAGGGAGGGCCTTTAGGCATATCTTTACCTGGAGGCAGCCAGGATGAACTATCTCATTGCATATGCAGCATTCCATGAGCTTCTTCTCAAAGTCTTGTGTCTCTTCATTCTGATCCACTTCTCCACAGAGAGAACATGTAACTGAATGAGGCAGTCTGGGCTACAAGAGAACAAAGATCAGAACAAAGATTTAGAATCTTTAAATTTCGTATTCCCTTTAAATAAAGATGGGAGACTTGGTTCACCTGGGATGCACAAAGACAAAGTAATAAGCAGGGAGGGTTTTGGTGGGAAAATGACTAGGAAAGAAGACTGAGGACTTAACTGCCCAGGAACTAGACTATCAGAGGTAATTAAGTCACTCTTTGTTGGCTTGTCTTTGGCCTCACAGGTCCCTTATTAAGAAGGGGACAGAAAACAGTGACTTGCTCTCCAAAGGCTGGTGTCCTATTTGAACATTAGGTAAGTAGGGCCATAACATTAGATTATTTTTACTATGGATATCTTTCTTCTAAAGCCAGGGAGAGGAGCTCCATCTCAGCAGAGACTTTACACATTATAGTTTCTCTGGCACCAGCACCACTTCTTGCAAAGTTTTTTTTACCCAGATCACTTACTGCTAAGCACTGTCGGAGGACACAGGATTGCTTCATTCGTCCAGGCCCACCAAACTTCTTCATGTCCCTGCAGTAGTGGCAGACACCACATTCTCCTTGCACACATGCTTTGCATTTCCTACAGCGCACTCTCCTCCTCCGGGCTCCTGACACAATGGGGGAGGCAGCAGCAGGCCTTACTGGTGTTAAACGGGGAGCTGGCTTCATGGTGTGAGGCTTTGTGATGGGAATGGTAGGAACCCTTACCTTTGGCCTGGTAGGGAATTTAAGCTGGAAAAAGAAAGCAGTAAGGTCAATCATATCTGGTTACTTTAAAACTGGAGAGAGGGCAGAAGATTACATGGCTATGTACCTGGCCTAGGACTTGACAAATCTGCCCCCTGCCTATTTTTATAAATACATTTATAAACTAATTAATAAAAAAATAATAAAATGAGCCATGTCATTTATTTATGTATTATCTATGGCTATTTTCAAATGCTGTAGAACTGTGACATTCTGTGTAGCATACAAACCCACAGAATCTCAACAGTGATAGAAAACTTTGCCAATCCCTGACCTAATGCTCTGCTACCCTTTTCAATATAGAGAGCTGTAAGGCTTGGCGGCATTGCAAGCTTTTAATTCCAGCGTTTGGGAGGCAGAGGCAGGTGGATCTCTGAGTTCAAGGCCAGCCTGGTCTACAGAGTGAGTTCCAGAACAGCCTGGAACACAGAGAAAACCTTGTCTTGAAAAACCAAAAAGATATTACTCAACCCCACACTTTTAACATTCTGCTTAAATACCCCTGGGATGTTATGGCTTTGGAACTTTCAGTTAGGGAACACTGAAAAGAGGCCTAATTTGGCTCATGGTCAGGACAGAATACACCAACTCTGACACAGACAGTAAGATTAAAAAGTTATAAATGTAAGCTTCAAAGGCATGAAAAAAAGTAACTGAAAATTTATTTGCTGATGGAAATTCTTTTTAATTTTAGCTGGGTGTGATGGTAATCTACCTGTCATCCTAGCACATAGAGGTAGAAGCAGGCCAGCTTGGTGAGACCCTGTTTCAATACAGGGAGAATGGTAATTCTTGGGATCATGGTTTCACTATAACAAAAACCTTCTAGTTTTAGATACATATGTAGTGCCTTAAATTAGCTTTAAATCCCATTTCGCTGAGTTTCTGGGTCAGAAGAAGGGACATCTACTGTGGTCAACTAATGTACACTAAAGCATCTGAATCTGAAGAGAGGGCTCCAGCATGATAGTTTTGGAAAGAAAATCAATTTTGAGCTGGAGAGATGGCTCAGAGGTTAAGAGCACTGGCTGCTTTTCCAGAGGTCCTTAGTTCGATTCCTGGCAACTACATGGTGGCTCAAAACCTTCTATAATGAGATCTAGAGACCTTTTCTGGCGTGTAGGCAGAATACTGTATACATAAAAAAAAAAAAAAAAAAAAAAAAAAGAAAAAGAAAAAAAGAAAGCCAACTTCAAAGAGAGCCAATTACCCTGAACTATGAAGTTAGGAGAGAATCAAGTAATAACTGACTATCAGCACTTTATTTACTAATTTATTGAGATAGGGTCTTGCTATGTTAACCCTGACCGGAACCCATCAAAATCTTCCTCTCTCTATTTTCTGAGTGTGGAATCAAAGAAAGGCCTGTACCACCATTAGGTTTTTCTTGTTTTTGTGAGGCAAGATCTCACTATGTAGCTCTGGCTGGCCTCAAACTCACAGATACACACCAGCTTCTGTGCCACCTTGCCTGACTATCAAGGCACCAAACAAAACCCATGTTTTTATTTCCAGAATGGTGGTGATTAATTGGCAATAAACTTAAGTGGTTTGAAGATCAAGCATAAGAGTCTCTTACCTTATCCCTTTTTGGCCACTGCACTATAGGAACTCCAGTGAGGGCTAACTTGGGATCACTACTGGCAAGTTCCTCCAGCAAAATCTAAGGATCAAAGAGAAGCAAAAAGTTGAGCATGGTGAACACAAAACCCAAGCACTCTAAACAGCATCCAGACTTGGCCTTATCCCTGCCCCTTCAGCACCAGAGGAGGAGGTTGGTTATATTTCCCCTCCATACAGATTTATTGCAAATCAAGCAAATCAACAATGAAAGAGAAACCTCCAACTATTGCTATCAAGACTTTTAACCTTGGTTGGGTGAATTGCCAGACGACATTACTTCTAAAACTAAGGAAGCAGATCTACACAGTAAATGCTAGGCCAGCCATGGCTAATCAGCGAGACTTTGTCTCAACGAACAACCACAGAGGACAGACTTCTTTGCTCTCAATACGATATCTATATCTCTAAGACACTGAAGCAACTAGGTACCCTATATAGTGTTACCTGTCAAGCAATTCTACAAAGGATAGTAAAACTTTATTTCTGTACTTCTCTATAGTAGCAATTATCAGTTTTGTTTTTATTTGTGAGTGTGGGCAAAGAGGCATCAAAATGAATGGCGGATATTAAATTATTAAGATAATATAACCTTCATGTCCTGGTTCAACAGGATATTACTTTTGGTGGACTTATTTTTGGGGAAAAGAGGAGGCAGTAGTGGAGATTAAACTCATAAGCTCACACATGCACATTCCAAGTAATGCTCTACTAATGAGCTACATCCCCAGGCACAGACTTGTTTTAAGGCTGATTACAGCTGCATACTCTTTGGAGGTTCACAGCACATGCGCGCACACACACGCACATACACGCATGCATACACACACACGCACACACACACACGTACAAGTTGAGTCTGTTTTGCATTTAAACTATTAATGGAAAAGGAACAGTTTAGATCAATGGTTCTTATGACTTCAATAAAAAGTTTGGATAGCTTAGAAATAACATGATGGTAAGAAACTGCCACTTAAGTGAATCAATCACACTGGTTGACTTTATTTCGAGACAACTCATTTTATGTCTTTGAAAGAGATTCAGAACCACAAACTACCTAGTAGAATAAATCTCCCTTTTGATGACATGAACCACAAAACAATGCCACAGCAAAAAAATGTAAATCTGAGAGACAGGTTACCCTTGCCTACGTGTATACACTGTTTCAGGAAAAACTAAAATAAACTTTGACCTAGAACAACCAGAATACTTGGGTCACCTTCTGTTGTTGTTGTTTATAAGACTTATTTATTATATATACGGTGTTCTACCTGCATGTATGCTTGTACACCAGATCTCATTATAGATGGTTGTTAGCCACCATGTGGTTGCTGGGAATTGAACTCAGGACCTTTGGAAGAGCAGCCAGTGCTCTTAACTTCTGAGCCATCTCTCCAGCCCATGGGTCATCTTTTAACAAGCATTTTCATAATCAGAACTTTCAATTATTTTCATTCTTAACCTAAAGATCATGTTCTAAATTCCTGAGTTAGGGCTCACAAAAACCTGTTTACATTCTAAAAGCTTCCTCTATTAAGATCCCCCTTTTGCCAAATCTCCAGATGCCTCACACCTTCCCCCAAACGGATCTCATTTTCAGTCATTTTATTTACTTCAAGTTGCTATGGCACCCTATTCTAGAGCCTCATGTTAGCACCATACTGTGTGGGGGTGAAGAGGCCGGGAGTGGTACCACGTGGGACAAGGTTCTGGTCCTAATCTCCCTAGGGTGAAAAATTCAGGTCCATTCAAAATGTGCACCAAGGAGTGCATGGCTCCCCTCCCCCGCCCTGCATACGGGAGGACTAGGACTCTGCCCATTTCCTCTGCGGGAGAGAACTGAGCTGTCCACAAACAGGGACTTTCCACTTTCAGCAAAGCAGACTGCACAGAAAGACCTATGATTAAGAGAGTAGGAAAGGAACTTAAGTTCACTGGAATAGTCTAATTCTACCTGTAAGACTTTTGTAGGGGGCACAGGGAAGGACGGAGAGATACACTGTGTGGGCTGCGCTGGGTGGGGGCAGTTAACATACACACCACTCAATTACTGGGGTATGTGTGGGTGTGGAGGGAAATGCAGATTTCCTTCCCAGCCTATATTCGCTGGGGCCAAGTCCGCAATGCTTTCAGTTTAAAAAAAAAAAAAAAAAAAAAGACTCTAGCTGAGGCCCTATGAGAAACCATAAAAAAGCCACCACCCTCGCCAGTGAGATTTAGGATCAAGGAGCGGGGATAGGGGTGGGTGGAGTGCGGAAAGGCTGCTGCTTATCTAGGTTCCAGGCATTTGAGAGATCGTTCAAACACAGGCCCACACCCCAAAGAACACAGAAAGGGAAAGAGAACTATGGGCCTCTGGTCAAGGAGTAAGTACTCCCCAAAGCCAAGCAACCCAGTTCCAAAGCACATCCCACAAGCTAGAGAACAAGTGTTAACAACGGCTCACGCAACACAAGTAACACAAGCATTGTCCTAGACTCGCCCAGCAGGCAGTTCTGCCTCTTCTAAGAGACAAAGTCTCTACAGTTACACATACCCAAAACCAGAAAGGGCCTGCCAACCGACCGCCTGACCTTGCATTTCTTGTTTGTTGCTCTGGAGCTGCAGAGGCTCTTGGGTGAAGTTTCCCCAGCGCCTTTGTTTTGTTTTCTGTGCTGAAGTTGTGCGGAAGGAGTTAGCTTTTCTGCTTCTAGGAAAATCCTGATTTACGTGAAAATCCCGAATCTCCCCAGAGCATGTAAAAGCAGGGCAGTCCCACTGTAACCCTTCAGGCTACTCAGAGCAGCGTGGAGCACTCTGAGCTCCTTCTAAAGCCCTTCAGCTCAGCCGCGGCTTCCTGTGCCTGCGAACAATGCTGCTGCGTCACCCACATGCAGCTCCCAGAAATGCTTTGCAACGGAAGATGGCAGGAGGGGGAGCTCAGCTCGAGTGAGCCAGCCAGGCAGAGGGCCTGGCCGTTCTGCTGCAGAACCCGGAGGGGGTGTGTTTGGCAGCCGCTCGCCTCCTCGTGATTGGAGGAAGCACAGTCGGGGAGGGAGCTTGGCCATCCCAGGCCCCAGATCCTTCCCTCCCAACACTGCAACCGGAGAACCCAGGGCCACCTCCAGAGGGCTCTGTAGCAGACTTCAGGAGGCGCTAGTGGAAGGGAAGGCTTTAACCCAATCCACAGGCTATGCCTTCATACCCTAGACCACATCTGTCCTTACAGTAGCCCCGCACCACTCCATTCAGGGTCACTTCCTGTTTTAACTGGAGCTCTCTTACTGATGGTACACAGGTAACTCTCCTCTCTGGGATCCCATCTCTGCCTCTGAGTAGGAAGCTGCAGTAGCTTACACAATTCCCCAGCTCTTCCTGAATCACCTGTCTACCTGACACCTGTCCACACTCAAACAGCTCCTTCCCACCATCCAGTATTTGTTCAACAACTTCAGAAATACCATAATTACAGGCAACACTGAGAAAATATGGCTGTTATCAACTATATGTACAGTACATAGCCACTTCTGGTTCTGACAAGGAACCACCAGCAAACTAGAACACTTTATGCAGCCAACTTTAAGCACTTCCGTTGTGAACAAAACAAACTACTCAGGTGCAACTTAAGGACAGTACACTTTATCCTCTTGATTCTATACAAAGTACAGGGAGTCAGGGAACAGGCTTTCTCCCCAAGCTGCAGCAGTTTCCGCTGCCAATCAGAATCCCTCACCTTCCAGATACCACACCCAAATTTCTGCCTCTAACTCAGTTTTGCCTACCTCATTCACAATCCTAAAGCCTCAGCTCTCCAAATGCTGGAATTATAGGAATGGCTACCTTCTTATTGATATTCCCTATGAAGCAAACAGCCCTTCATTCCACTGACAGTTCAATGACGCCTTCTCTACTGTTTAGAGGTTGCTGAGCCAGGGTTAATGAAGCTCAACATTTGTTCTTATTTTCTCATTGGTCTACAGCAAAAAGGAAAGATTCACACAAGAGCAGGAAAAGGCAGAGTTTGTGTTTTCTACATCCTTCTGATATAACTGCAGGTGCTACTTTGACATAAACCTCTAACTCTCATTATCCTTTTTAAATTACATTTATTTATTTGTATGCATATAAAGGTCAGAGGACAACTTTTATTATGTGGGTCCCTCAATGGAGGTTGTCAGGTCTGTCAGTAAGCACTATAACCATGAGTTTCTGGAATAGATTTAATGACCTCATAATCTTTCTGGGATCTGGGCTGTTGTCAAGGGCTGTGTTTGTGAACAGACTTTTTGCCAGTTTCCCTTCCGGTGTTGCCTGCTCAGGCTTAGCTCTATCCCCTGGGGGCTCAAGTGATCCTCCTGGGCTTCACCAGTAGCTTTACATGTGGTATGTACTTATTTTCACTGTAGCTTACAGAATGAAAAAGTTACTTCTGTGTTCTTGATTGAGTTCTTCCAGGAAATACTTACATGGTCATCCAGACCTTACACTTCTCCTTTGCACTTCCACTTTAAAGACTTAAAGATCAAGTGTATTCATATGATAAGTGAAATACACTTGATAAGTGTATTTCATATGAAAAGTTTTGTAACAATGAAGTTTCTTGGAAAACAGACATGCCACTATGAAACTCTAGAAGTAAGGTTTCAAATTACATATTAATCAGGTCTAATTTTGCCCTCTCCTGTAATTAACAATAAAAAGATGGCCAACAAAGAATGAGCAAACAGGTGATGGTATCCACCTGTAATGTCAGCATTAGGGAGCTGAGGCAAGAGGATGTAACTTCAGAATTGCTCTAGGCTGCACAGGGAGACCCTGTCTCAAAAAGCCAACGAGGACCCTGGCAGTTGTAGTGCACATCTTTAATCTCAGTGCTTGGGAGGGAGAGGCAAGAGTTTAAGGCCAGCGTGGTCTACAGAGTGAGTTCCCGGACAGCCAGGGCTACACAGGGAAAAACAAAACAACAAAGCCAAGGAGGAAGAACATTACCTTTTACAACACAGAAAACATGATCGAATCTAATACTTTAAAACACAACCTTATTGGACTTATTATTCAGTTAGG